GATGGCCCATCAGACACACGTGCAGGGCAGTGTGCCCAAGCCTCCCCAGGGGGCCTCTGGCCAAGGGAGACGAGACGGCGAGGTGCTTTTCACAACGGACAGGGCCCACTGCAGGGCAAGATGCGCCTGTTACCGAGGGAACTGCAGGCCTAGGACTCAGTCGCCCGCCCTCGCTAAGCTTGTCTGTCCCTCACTGGTCGCTCACAGAGGAAACTTGAGCATGGCCGGCAGGACGGCAGGGTTGTTGTGTGGTCTGAACCACCGCTCTCTCTTTCATCAAACCAGCAATTGTTAGATCTCCAATCTTGTGTTTCTTTCTCCAGAGCCTACTGTTGGGCTCCTCTGGCCAGTGTTCCTGCCTGGGGAATGACCCCCTTGGGCCACGAGGGAGGCTGGCCAGCTGCCGGTCCTTTACAGCAGCACTCCCTGCGGGAAGCGTCGGCAAAGTGGTTTCCTTTCTCTTCCAGGGAGTCGAGTTGAGAATGCCCCGGGATATCAATAATGCAAAGGCAGCAAGTAAAAGCACAGCATGCAGTCATTCCCGAACACAGGGGCCATTTTTTTCATTCTATTTTCGCTGGAAGTCCACGACAGTCCAAAGTCACTGCTGAGGCGAGGCGCCTTCAGCGTGAACACCGGCGGTTCTGCCCTTGGCTGCGTGCACACCCTGGTGGGGGCCCACAGCTCGGCCTGGCGGGTGGAAGCAGCCAGCGGTGAGGATGCCACCTCCACAACATCCCAAGGGCTTGCAACTGCATCTCCTGCACGGCTTATCGTTTCCATCTTTGAAATGAGAACCGCCTGTAAACCACGGGAGATCAGCTTCACCCAGAAGAGCCACCTGCAAATCGCCACGAGGGGCCAAGAGGTGAGGAGTCAGTGCCCAGCTGTCTCAAGGGGCTTCCTGGGTCTCATGAGGGAGAGACATGGGGGGACGGGCGGGGGTTCTTGCACTGAGAAGGAGGCCTGTGAGGAGCAGTCAACAGAAGGGGCTCGTAGAGAACAAGGCTGCCGACACAAGGGTGCTGGTGCAGTGCGAATTCAGGAGGGCTTCCGCAGCACAGGTGGTTCCAGGGGGTCTGAAACAGGGTCCTCTGTGGCCTTCACACAGGGGACGGTCACCGCAGTGGCCCTAGGGCAAGAGGCTCTGGCGTCTGAACTGAATATCCTAGGGCTCTGCGGTGAGCCCCCTGATTTGGGTCAATTTCCTTCCTTTCATACTCAAGAAGGAAAAGGGGGATCTGCCCATTGGGACACCCAAGACGGGGTGGGTTTAATAAACCCTCCTTTGACATTGGGTCAGCACTCATCACTTTGGAAAACACACATTGGTTTTGTCGTGAGAGACTCATTACCTACGTGAAGAGAAGCTTCCGGGAGCCCATCAGAGGGAGGGCTGGAAAAGACCCTGTTGTTCCTCGGCGCCCCATCCCTGGGGACAAGGACCTCGGGGAGGCTGGTCAGAAAGCTGAGGGCGAGGCTCTGGGCGCCTGCAGCACTTGAACTTGCCACAAGCCCTTTTCCAACATCCTGGGTCTCGACCAAAATGGCAGAAGCGTCTTTTGGCTTCATGGTGGGGCTTTCATTTGCCAAGGCCGCACATTAAAAGCCTTGGCAGTCTGACTTCTACTCGGCCCACCCCGAGGGCGGGCAAGCTGGTTGGCCCTGCGAGGGTCCTCTCCGCCCACCTCCAGGGAGGTCTGCCTGCACCAGGCAATCATATTGTGTGGCCTCTGTTGGGATGTGTCTGCCCATGTGGTGAAAGGAATGTATCAGTCCCCGGTGTCTTCTCACCGGGAGGACATGCTTCCTTCATGGAGCTCACCCCAAAGTGGGGAGACAAGAGTGACACACAATGGAAGGCCAGCTGTAAGGTGGGTTAGGTGCCCAGCGTGGTGGCCAGAAGGTAAGAGCCAGAGGAAACGTCCTGGGAGGAAAGCCACCTCCCTGACCAGACAACAGGTTGGGCAGATAAGCCTCTGCCCCCCGCCTGCCGTGGGGTCCGCCACCAACTAGGGAAGCGTCTAGCCCCGCAGCCCTTCCCACGCAGCGCCCAGCTGTGCTGTGACAGAAGCAGCTGTTTCCTCTCCTTCCGGCATCACAGCTGCTCCGTTGTGACTCTCACCTCCTTCCTTCCTTCCTTTGAATGGGCCTCCTTCCCCTGAAGCCACCAGCTGCCACCAGGTGTCCCTGCTCTCTTGTCACGGAGAGCCACTGTGCTCCACGTGCCATCAGCCCGGAAACTCTGCCTAGCCGCGGCCGAGCCAGGCGCCGGTGCCTCGTGGGTGCCCGGGGGAGACGGGCAAAGCCTGCACCACACGTGTACGCGGTCTCAAGGTGAAACCCGGGAGCTACAAGTAAAGTGTTCGGCTCAAGTCAGTGGGGAAACAGTGAAGACGGTTCCCTTTGTGACACCTACAGGTCAAACGGAGGGGCCCTGGGTTTCCTGTCACCCGTACTGAACAAAGGTGTGAAAGCAGGTCCCAGGTGGTGCCTTCCAGCTGCCTGACGTCTTTTCCATCGTTGCTGCGTGTGCATCTGGGAGAACTCGTTTCCCAGTGCCCCTCACGGTCACCCAGAAGTCGAAGCCGACGCAGCAACGCTAAAGAAGCTTGCTGGGTGCGGGGCAGGGCGGAGACAGAGTGGGATTCTCCTGTGGTCCACCCGCAGCGACGTTTACGGTCAGGTCGTCACTGCAGGGCCCGGGAAACAGAGGCTGTCCGAGCGCGAGGAGCCCTGATTAAACCACCGGCGGTGCTTCCAGTCGTCTGCCCACCTGCTGCAGGCCCTCCCTCCGCACACTCTGCTGTCGAAGGAGCCCCCAGGGCCCTTCAGGAGTGCTGACCAGCTCCCTGAACTGGGGTGTGAGCCAAGGCTTGGGAACGCCAGGGAGACAGGTCACGGCCACTCGAGGACTCCTGCCTGGGCCCGGAATTGCGCTCGACTGCACTCCAAACCCACTCAGTCCCCGTGCCGCCACCCCTCCAAACAGCCCCGGACTCACCGTGTCTCCTTAAAACCAGGGGTCCCCATCCCCCCACCCGTGACGTCAGCCTCTCTGAGAGTGGGGTCCACAGGCTGTTACTCTCACCCTCATCTCCTTCACCGGGTGGAGCCGGGCCATGGACTCGGTCTCCTCCCAAATTTTCGGGAGTGTCAGCACTCACTGCCGGGCCCAGCACCTGTGGTTCAACGCCCACTTGTCACGTGGAATGGACTCCGTTCTGTGTTGCTAAACATCCTTTCAATCATGTTTTCCTTTCAATCCTTCATTCTCCAAGAATCCTTTTCCTCTTCGTAAAAACTAGACTTACCTTCCGAAAGGTTTTCTGAGAAGCCTTTGTCTTCCTCAAATGAGAATATGTGAACACAGGGGCACCCAGAAAGCCTATTTTCATGGGAAAAAAATGCACTTCCTGCCATGACCCGTGTGGATCTGTGAGGTGGGCATCGTCCCACAAAGCAAAAAGTCACCGGTTCAATTCCCGGTCAGGGCACATGCCTGGGTCGTGGGTTCAGTCCCCAGCTGGGCACATATGAGAGGCAACCAGTCAGCGTGTCTTTTTCACATCGATGTTTCTCTCTCTGCCCCTCCCTTCCTCTGTCTCTAAAATTAAATATCTTTTTAAATGCACCTCCTGACCCTGTGGAAGGCTCGCTCACAGTCCCGACACTCCCCCTCCGTGTCCCAGCTGCTTCCAGGCAAACTCATGCAGAGAGAACGCAGGTCAGCAGCCTCCTCTGAAGATGCTCCTCCTCTGCTGAATTTCAGTGGGGTCCTTCCTTCAAGCTGGCAGAAAATTAGTTTAGACACCCTGACGCAGAGCAATCTGTTTGCATGAAAACGATCTTTTTAAGCAACAAAAATGGGCTATCACAGCACAGTATTTCCACTTAGTCCAGGTGACATGCACACCAAAGCTCCTCCCTTTTCCACCAAAAGAAAAAAGAAAAAAAGCGTGACATGCAGCCGGCCAGTATTTGAAAGCTGCGTCCACAAAAGCTGTTCGTGGATGCAAATGCCCGGGACACGCCCACAGGAGTTCTCCAGGCCTGGGCCCCACAAGTCACTCAGGGTGGGTCCGGGAAGGTGGAACCCCAAAGGGGGGTGAAGGGTGGGTCAGACACAACTCGGTGTTGTTGTAGGAACCGCGCATTCCTTGGAATAAAGATCATTTCTTCCTGAGCACGAGATGCATCCACTGTGCAGGTAGAAAGATGTTTCGAAACACGTAACAAGCACCAACAGATTCTAGGAAAAAAAATCGGCTTTTCCTGTATGATTTCTGAAACAGTGTCACGGCGAATCCCAGTGTTTGTTTTCCCACGTCCCCTCAACATGTCACTAAGCATTTTCCAGTAAACCCACATTTTAGATTTTTAAATCTAAAAAGGGAGGAGCTTTGGTGTGCATGTCACCTGGACTAAGTGGAAATACGGTGCTGTGATAGCCCATTTTTGTTGCTTAAAAAGATTGTTTTCATGCAAACAGATTGCTCTGCGTCAGGGTGTCTAAACTAATTTTCTGCCAATTTTAAAATATTCTGTGTTAGCTATCAATTTTAAGCATGGGAGAACGCAGGACAAGTGTTTTTTGAGTAAGAAAATGGATAAGTAAAACATCTTGTGTTTATTTCATTAACTATTTAGTGTTACAGGGCTTTTAAAGCTCATTTTTGGCCACACTGCATCTTACAAACTGTATGCCTCATCTTTCGTGCCAACACCAGGCAGGTTCCAAATATTCCAGATGTACCATCTCCTACTGCACTTTCATCTGGACACAGATGGACCGGATTTCTTCCAAGTTAATCAGCGCGGTACTGAAGGATTTTTTTTTCTCCATAAGAAACAAAGCCAACAAAGCTTCATTGTTTATATATAAGGATACATCTCTGCTCCCCAGTGGAGTGTAAGCCTCTCCACAGTGGGCAGTTTGCAGAAAGCTCCATAAATGCTGTTGGAATAAACTGGGCCTCCCCTTTGACTCCTCCCCACCATACACACGTGACTACCAGCATAAATACCAGGAGGCAACCAGCTCTGCAGTCCGCCCATCGCCCATCCCTGGGGAAATAAGAGTCCAAGTTTAATCACCCGAGCAGAATTTCTTTTATTAAAAAGATTGCCTGTCGTCTGGTTCCCTTGACCACAGATGCTGTCCTTCACTGTGGGAGTGTGTGAAGGCACGCACACCTCGCTGTTCTGGTGACAGAACACCATTGTCAGAGACATTGTGTTATAGGGCTGAATTATCTTGCTTCTTATTGGTCATCCTTCATGCCAGCCACCCACCTCATCCCATTAAACTTGAAGGACCTAGCCATAAAATGAGTCCCTGTGGCCCCTATCTACCCCTTCCCTGGCCTTGGAGCGGTTCACATCCCTGTAGCAGGAAGTTGGCCCCAGGGGGTCTCCCCATCCAGATAATCCACCCTCTGCAGAAATGCTGGGCTCAGCTCCCAGCCTCAGACACGCCCGGCACGGCAGAAACATGGAGTTAGCAGGTGCTCTTGGAAGGTCATATATCTTCAGTTCTGTCCTGAGTCCAGTTGGTTGAGTCGCTTTACAATCATGCTGTTGAGTTTCTTGAGATCATCTATGTCCTTTCCCTCTGCTGCCAGTCTTTGCAACATGTTGTCCATCTTGTTTCCAGTCTGAACTTCAAAATGGAAAGCAGAACGTTACATTGGTTTCCAGCGTCAGAGCCCTGTGTAGGTGCTCAGCTTGTAACCATGCGGAATTGTACCCGTGGGAGATTGGAAGCCACCCCACCATTCTTGTGACATTGTTTCTGTAAGTGGGGACTCTGACTCATATGCAGCTTATAGATAAACAGCATGTTTGTATAAAACCCTGGGAAATAACTTTAACAGATACAGACTCCGACTTTCAGGCATCCCAGCTCTGGGAGATTTGCTGACCTTCAACCCTGAAAGCAGGATGACCGCACACCAGACCATTGCTTGACCAGTTTCCATGTTCTTGACAGTGCTCGTCTGCACGCCTCTGCCCCCTTTTCAACACCCTCTCTTGATCTCCTGGTTCTGTTCTCCTCTCTGTCCCCATAAAAACCTCTGTCTGCACTGAGATGTGGAGATGGGCTTTGGGACAAGAGTCCCCCATGTTCTCAGGTGACTGGCACTTGTATAAATCATTTTCCTTCTCACCAGCACCTGTCTCATGAGCTTGGCTGGACCTGCATTTGGTCACAGCCTGAGCCCTGAAAAGCCCCCTTGGCAAACCCCGACTCCGACAGCCCATGCAGCCAACAGGCCTGGGAGACAACTGCTGAGGATTAAATCACCCATCGAGTGACTTAGTTTCACAACCTCTTCATGCCAGCTTGTGTGACCTCCGGCAGTGGAGTGCATCTGGAGCCCCACGGGCCAGGCTTGAACCCCAGTTCTGCTGGGAAAATGTGGAGAGATAAACTCTCTGGACCATGGTCCTTCATCAGTAAAATTTGAAATATTAGGCACTACCTTGAGGGGTAGAGAAAGAATTTAAGTTAATGAATTTATGTGTCTGGCACAGAGTAATTGTCCAATAAAAAGATATTTCTTTATTCAAGTCTTTCTTCTGTTCCTTAGTATAGCTTTGCCCTCAACAGAAAACACTAAGGCAAATATACAATAAAACCTCTTCATACCAGAGGGGTAGAATAATGGTACTAAAGTGCCTAGCCTCTGATGTCTGTGAGCCCCAATCCAGCACTTGTTAGCTGTGTGCCCTTGGGCGTGTTCAATATTCTCTCTAAGCCTGAGTTTCAGCATTGAGCAAACAGACATCAAGTAGTCAGCCTGGTGCCTGGGACAGAGCGAGCACCCAACACACAGCGTCTTTTCATCGTCATCATCATCATCCTTCATCTTCATACTCTCACCACGCACCGAAGAAAGAAGTTCTTTGGGTTGCTGCCATGCCAGTGGGCATGGCTAAAATGCCCCAAAAGTTTAACTGGTTATTAACTAGTCACTACCCAAGGGGGCATGACAGGATGATATTTTGTTTCACTTTGTCTTTTAATCTTTTATTTATTAATTTTAGAGTGGAAAGGAGTGAGAGAGAGATCAAGTTGTTGCTCCACTAAGTTACACACTCACTGGTTGACCCTTGCATGCGCCCTGACTGTGCATCCAGACACAACCTTGGCTGCAGCCAACTGAGCTCCCGGGCCTGGGTGTACGAAGCAGAGGCTCAGCCAGTGTGCGAGGCACCCTCTGATGCTGGCACAACACTTCAGAAGAGTAATCCGCATGAAGGAGTTGGACACCGAATGTGACTATATGTGACAGACCTGAATTCATGGGAAAGTCCACGCCTACGCATTGGATTAAGGAAACCTAGAATTCATGAGAATAAACTACCTACCACTTGACAGCTATTCAAGGGAGAAATTCAAGCGTTGTAGTGATACAGGGTGCAGCCAAGAGGGGGGCCCAAAAAAAGATTTGGAAAGGTGTCCAGAATTCAAAGTGTATAGAAATATTGGAGAGACATACAGGATGTCCTCACCCCCCACCCAGGGGGAAGGAATGAATAGAGCCAGGGCCATTGAGAGCTATTTTGCCTAGCAACAGTTTTGCAGCTAACCTCTGGAATGATTATTTAACATATCTATAACCTTTAACTGGTTTCATAGATATGTTAAATAGCTGTGGCCAAGTTTTGAGCCAGGGAGAAGGGAGTGGCAGGGACCCAAGATGTAACTAGGGGCTGCGCTCCTGAGTGAGGAGGCCTGTGTGAGAGCTTGAAAGAGATGGGCTCTGAGACATGAGGGGATAACTGCCCAGGTGAGGAGAGGGCCACGCGGTTTGGGGCAGAGTGAGGACCCCTGCAGTCATGTAGGAGAGAGCCACGTGATTTCAGTAGAGTGAGGACCCCCTCTTGGTGAGGTGAAAGAGGGAGCCACATGGTTTTGGCAGGGTGCGGACCCCCTCTTTCCCAGGTGAAAGGGAAAAACCACGCAGCTTTGCCAGAATGGAGATCCCTGCAGCCAGGTGAAGAAGAAGGCCACATGCTTTTGGTGGAGTGTGAACCCCTGCAGCTTTGGTAGAAGAGGCCCATGCGGCTTTGGGGTACCCCCTTTGGCCGCAGGGCCTGAAAAGTAGGAGAGACTTTGACTAGAATTTGGTAGAAAGAACTCTTGCCAGTGGACCGTGAGAAGGTGCCACATGACTGGATTAACTCGAGAGATCCTGCCTACATGGTGATACAGCTCACGGCGCCAGTGGCCTCAAACACAGATGTGTGTTCTTTTCCTGATTTACGGTGCCCGGAGTTGGGACAGTGGGAGAAGGGAGCTGTGTGGGTGTAGGTGTATGCCCTAAAGGACTTTGATATTTTAGTGGGGGCATTAAGCCTAAATAGCATTAAATAAACATTTTGTTTCCTTTTCACAAATCTCTGGCATTGAGAGATGTCTTTCCAATTGGCAGCAGACAGAAGAGCCCAGTAGATATTAGTATTTTGTCCTTCAGAGGGGCCCCTGTTGTATAGCAGCTTTTGGCATCTCTAGGTGGGCCAAATATTGTATTGCCCCTCCCTCGGACCTCTTGTTTGGTAACATTAGCAATATTTAATGTAGGTCCTTGTGAACTTCTGGCACGGTGGGGCGTGGGAGAGGGTGACTAACGAAACATCGGCCATGAAGCAAGCCCATGTGAGCGATGGGAGACTGCCCGCGCGTGGTACTCACTTATTAGAAAGATCACGAAGGAGACGAGCGCCAGGCTGAGGAGCAGCACCACGATCAGCCCCAGGAAAAACAGGCCATAGCTCCCACTTCCCGCGGCGGCGCCGCCCCCTGGGACTTTCTCCGCAGGCACTAACAGGAAACAAACAAAGAGCGCGATCACAAAGCACACACACAGCCGGTAGCAGAACTGGACAGTCCCGGAGGTGTGCTGCTCCCTCTGGTCACTCCGCAAAGCGAGGTCTCAGGCCTGATTTGCGCGGAGCCCCCCTTTGGGGATTCTTTATGTTCTTCCACATTGGTATTCAAAGCTAGCTCCTTACCCAATCTGAAAAGGTCTTTGAGGATCTTGTTAACGCTGAAGTTGAGGAATGTGGATTGTTTTTTTGGGGGGTGGGGATGGAGGGGATAAAGAAGTTCAAGGTTCAGAGTGGAGATTCTGTCGCCCTTTTCCCAACGTGACCCAGGAGGAAAGGCAGTGGGCAGTGGGACCCCAGCGCCGGGCTCTCTCCCAGGAGACTGCTGTCACTGTGGGGAACACGTGCTGAGCCTGGACCCATTCGAACAAAAAACAGCCCCGGTGGGCTTTAGTTTGGTAAAAGGGTCTTCAGGACGGACATGCTCTGGAAACAAGATTCTTTCATACCTGAACTGGGAGTGCGGCTATGCTTGTAAAAACAGCCAGCTTCAACCCAAACCGTGGCTGGTAAGCATGTCGTGGTCATGCCTAGTAACCCCGGAAGTTAAACTGAGTACCAAGAACGGAAACTTGGGGCACTGGAGAGGCCTGGATCGGTTTTTATTCTCTCCGACTTTGCTGCTGTCCCACAGGCTGTGCTGCTTGGTCACAGACAGGCGGGTGGCTCGTGTCCCGTGTCCCACACGCCCTACATCACCGCCCTCCTCCCACTGACAGCCTTTGCTTCTGAATCAGAGCAACCCCATCAGCTGGCACCCAAACACCTACTTTTACTGAGACTGACTGCTGCAATTAAAACAGGTTAAAGAAAAACTTACACTTTAAAATAAAAAGAAAAACAAGATTCAGGAAGAGAACAGAACAGATATAAAATCGGGGCCACACGAGTCTAGAGCACCCGTGAAGCGAAGACCGAGTGTGCCACCAACACCTGTGTTTGAATGTCAGCGTTTAAGCTAGAAAAGATGGGGCACCATCTACAATATGTGGGGGACCAGATACACAGTCCGTATTCAGCAGATTTTTTTGTTTTGCTTTCCCCCATGCCCTACTGTTTTTGTTTTTTTTCCCTAGCTCTTTCATTGGGGCAGTTTGTCACTTGTTAGAAAATGAATTGGACTTTCTTGACCAACAACAGTTTAATGATTTTTCTTTAAAACTGAGATAAATGTGTGGAACGCTGTCTCAGCAATTCACTCTGGGAAAGGGGGCTCCCGCCGTGACCTGCCTGTGGATAGGACAAGGCCCAAGAGCCCCTCCCCCAACTTTCCAGGGAGAGAAACTCCACAGGGACTTCTCAGAACTTTGAGGACAAGGCTGCAGCTCTTAGGATCCAAGAAGGCCCACGGCCTGCGTGCTATTCAGAGGCAAACGTGAAGGCAAATGTGGCCTGATAATCAGCAGCAGCTCTGGGGCCCAGTTGTTTCCAAGGCCCACTTGCCCTCCCCACACCCGCGCACCCGGATGAGCCTCTGCTATTCTTAGGCGGCCCAGCAGCAGAGCCACTGGCCTGGGTGGGCGCACGTACGGAACAGGCGCTGGGACTCGGTGGGGCAGAGGTGTAGCTTGTGCAAGTCGTTTATGGAATCCACGACGTAAAGCTTTCTATCTTCAGCAGCGTCTTGAGAGCCAGCGTCCCCAGAGAAGCGATTCATTGTCCCTGGAAGAAAACAGCAGTGTCACCCTCAAGGCCGGCCTAGGGGGCTCACGCCCCAAGAATGAGAGCCTGTGGGAAGCCCCCACTTACCACATTTCCAACCGAAGGCCTGGACAGGCTTCACTCACCGGAAGAAAACAGTTCCTCCTGGGGACACCTTGGCACCTACTGCTTTCACTTTGCTTGAACAGTTGTGCACTGCTCTGTGCACCCTGCTTATCTGCACACACGCTTCCCTCCTCCCCCACTTCTCCATTCTGCCTGTACTTTCCTTCAGCCCCCTTTTCATTTTGTCACTGATTTTAAAATATGTCCCCTTAAGAAAAATAGGTTTATCGATACATTCTTTTAGAGAGAAAGAGAGTAACATTGATGTGAGAGAAAAACATTGATTAGTTGCCTCCTGTATGTGCCCCACCCAGGGATTGAACCCACAACTTTTCGGTATATGGAAATGACACTCCAACCAAGTAAGCCACCCAGCCAGGGGTAAAATATTTCTCTTACACCATATTGTCCATATTCTGGCTATATAACTCAAATCCATTGGGCAAGAAGACCCTAACCATCTAGAAAGATAAAATTAAGCTCATCATCAGCCTGGGGCCATGAGAGCAGAAGAGAACATTACTGGGATCCATTCTATTCAGCTGAGGCATCAATCCAGGGCTGTGATTTTGATGTTGTCCCCCAATATGCTGCATGAGCCTCCACCTCAAATGTGTTCTTGGGCCACTGGAGGCGGGCAGTGGGCACTCAAGGCAAAGTCCAGGCAAGCTGAGGTGCTACAGAGAGGAACCTGCAGCCATTGGGAGCTAGACTCCGGGATCTCCAGTGTTCCCCACCCCCTGGTATCCCTAGACCCATGCCACCTACATCATAAGTTGCTTTTATTATTTTTTATTGATTATGCCATTACAATTGTTCTATTTCCCCCCTTCATTCCCCTCCACCCTGCACACCCCCTCCCCCATCGTTCCCCCCTTTAGTTTATGACCACGCGTCTCAAGTTCTTTAGATTCTATATTTCCCATACTATTCTTGCCCTCCCGCTATCTATTTTCTACCTACTGTCTATACTACTTATTCTCTGTACCTTCTCTGTGCTTCTCCTCCTCCCACTCCCCTGTTGCTAACCCTCCATGTGATCTCCATTTCTATGGTTCTGCTCCTGATCTAGCTGTCCTCTTAGTTTGCTTTTGTTTCAGGTGTGGTTCTTAATAACTGTGAGTTTGCTGTCCTTTCACTGTTCATCTTTTTTATCTTCTTTTTCTTAGGTAAGTCCCTTTAACATTTCATGTAATGAGGGCTTGGTGATGATGAACTCCTTGAATTTGATCTTATCTGAGAAGCACTTTGCTGCCCTTTCATTCTAAATGAAAGTTTTGCTGGATAGATCAATCTTGGATGTAGGTCTTTGGATTTCATGACTTGGAATACCTCTTTCCAGCTCCTTTTTGCCTGTAAAGTCTCTTTTGAGAAATCCGCTGACAGTCTGATGGGAACTCCTTTGTAGGTGACTGTCCCCTTAGCTCTTGCTGCTTCTAGGATTCTCTCCTTCATTTTAATCTTGGCTAATGTAATGATGATATGCCTTGGTGTGTTCCTTCTTGGGTCCAAATTCTTTGGGACTCTCTGAGCTTCCTGGATTTCCTGGAAGTCTATTTCTTTGCCATATTGGGGAAGTTCTCCTTTATTATTTGTTCGAATAAGTTTTCTACTTGTGGCTGTTCCTTTTCCCCTTCTGGTACCACTATAATTCGGATGTTGGAATGTTTAAAGATGTCCTGAAGGTTCCTAAGCCTCTCCTCCTTTTTTTTGAATTCTTGTTTCTTCATCCTTTTCTCTTTGGTCATTTTTTTCCTCCTTCTGGTCCACTCCCTTGATTCGAGTTGCAGTTTTCTTTCCATTACTATTGGTTTCCTGTGTATTTCCATTCATTTCAATTAGTTTAGCCTTCATATGTTCCTCTAATTTGTGGCTAAAATCCACCAGTTCTGTGAGCATCCTGATCACCAGTGTTTTAAACTGTGCATCTGAAAGTTTGGCTATTCATCGCTTAGATTTATCGGCTCTGGGGCTCTGAGTTGTTCTTGAGCCATGTTTTGATCTGTTTGTGCCTGTTATGTATGAGGAGCGGAGCCTTAGGTGTTCACAGGGCGGGGCCACCCAGGTCACTGTTTTGTGACACTGTATGTGGGGGCAGGGTCAGAGAGGGACAATAGCGGTCCCCTCTGCCGCTTCCTGCCCCTGGGGCCTACCCGCGGTCCATCTCACTGCTTGCTCCTTCACCGGTTTATTTGCGCTAGAATGTGTGACTGTGGTCAGCCCTCAGTGAATCCGCCCACCACTCCACACCTGGGATCCGCCCATGGCTGCTGGTGCACCTGGGTCCTGCACCCGGGTCCATCCAGTGGATCTTTCTTGCCTAACCCTGCTCTGCTGCTGGCTCTGCCCCTCTTACCGGCCTGGCCGAAGAGTTCGCTGTTGCCAGACTTCCATATAGTTCAATTTTCTGTGGTTTGACTGCGTTTCTGTTGCTAAAACTTTGTTGTTTTTAAACTTGGTTGTGTGAGAAGGTACAGTGCTTCCACCTACTCCTCCATCTTGGCGAAGTCATAAGTTGCTTTTAAAATGAGGTTTACATTTAAAGTAATAGTCCCTAATGACAGCCCAAGTTGAAGCAATGCTGAAAAGCCTGGATGGACTCAAAGGTCTATTTTAAAATGTTTCTCCAGCAGACAGAGACCTTGTGGCCTTTGCATTAATTGTGTGAAAGAAAGGCTCTAGGAAGGCAAGTTGCAATTACTCTCAGAGCTCCAGCCAAGCTCTGAGCTCCGTCCTTTCCACAAATGAGGAAAATGACCTTTAGATGGTGTCAGATTTGCTGCGCCTCCCCCCGAGTCACCTGTCTCCTCCCCCTCCTCCCCTGTCCTCACTCAACACCCAGCTCAAGCCTCACCTCCTCTGGAATCTACCTGCCTTTCCTTCCTGCGCTTGCTGGACCTCGGACCTTCTGCCAGTGTGTGTGGAAATCTCACAGCATTTACCCGCCTACATCTCTGACTTCCCCAGTGGGGTGAACACCCCTGCAGGGTTGGAGCCACCCCTAGTCTTTGGTGCCCTGTGCCCAGTTTAGAAGCCAGTGACTTCTGTTTGGCTGGAACACCTACAATATTTTGTTTAGGATTTTAAAATCACTATTTTTCAAAGAATTCAAGGCAGTTAATAGCAAGCTCGCTGACAGAATTAATCTGAGGGTAGGAGTTCTCACGAGGCACGCGTCTGTCCGTGTGTACTGCTGGAGGCCCAGGACTTGCACCCGATTCTGGCAGCGCCTCTTTACTTCCTGTGAACATTTTTAAAATGTCCTTGAGTACCCAGCTCCGGAGTGGAGAGAAATAGAGTTAGGAGAAGCCAAGTTTAGACAAGAAAAAAAACACGTGAACACCTATAGAAGATTTGAGAAAAGGATCAAGCTGCTTAGTAAAGCACCCTAAAAAATCAAAGCCTATTAAAAAATAAACTAAAACATTAAAATGCAGCAATTTCCCACTAATACCTAAGATGTACAAGCACTCGTAAAAAAAACATGTCCCCGAGACCTTCAACAAAAAATTCAGTGTGTTTGGTAAATCGTGGACCAGTTTTTTTTTCAAAGTTAAAAATTTTTAAAGGGTATTATCCTGAAATGTTAATTACCAAGAAAATGGAGACAACTGTACTTGAACATCAGTAAAAAATGTGGAAAAAAATTAAAAAAGGAAAAGAATGACCAAGAACACATACTCCCCTGATTGTTTTAGAGAGGATACTACTGAAGCACTTTACATATTGATATTACTAAATTTCAGTACCTCATGGGCATTCCTAAGGGAAAGATTTAAAGTGACAAAAAAAGGAGCACCATAAAATCAAAGCTCCTGACTGATGTCCTGTGACATTTCTAAATGATTCTTCTAGAAAAGTGGCCCATTTCATCACCCCTTTGTCCTTCATTCCCCCCCGTGCTGCTGTTTGATGAGGAATAAAGTTTGTGTGTGCCCCGTCAGAGGACTGCCATGCCAAGCGGCTGCTATTTTAGGCGTGGTGACTGTGGCGTGGTTTAGTATTTTTGGATCTCTGGTTTAGTACCCTTGAGCCTTAGCTTCCCCTTCAGGAATGTAATTACTGTGCTTAAATCTCACACGGAGGCTTTGTCCACGTTTACCAAGTCGAGGACTAGCTGGAAAATCATAACCACAGAAACTGACGTCAGAGCAGGGCAGCTAACAAAATCTCCAAATTATTGGCCTTGCTACCTACTGCAAAGGTGACTCAGTACAACACTGTATCCCAAAGCACTGAAACAACAGCTCAGAGTGAGCCATGAGGTGCTCCAGAAGGAAACGTCTCGAGGTAAGGTGTTCTCTCAGTGTGTTTTCAGATGAACTACAAAGCATGTCAATGAAAGCTAAGAGCCAGCAGAGAGAGCTGAGTCAGGGGTGTGTGCTTCACGGCTGCCAAGATCCCGCAAATGACTCTGCCAATAACTGGATACAAGATCCTGTGGCCCCGACGCTTGACACCCAGTTCTTGCTCTCTGGGGCAGCTCCATGTGAGGGCGTCTGGGAAGGGGCTGGAGAAGCCAGAGCGTTGCTGAATTCTGCAGGGCAATGCCACCGCCCTCCTTCCCGACTCTGGTGTGCAATGCAAGTTTGCTCATTAAGTAGGACTGTTTGAAGCAGGGTCCTTCCCCCCTGCCCCCACAAAGAGGGGAAGGGTGGGAGAAATAGAAGGAGAGAAACAACGATTGGCTGCCTGTCGCAGGCCCCCAACCGGGGACCTGGCCCGCTACCCAGGCCCGCTACCCAGGCCTGTGCCCTGACTTGGAATTCCACTGGTGACGTTTTGATTTGCAGTTCGGTGCTCAGCCCACTGAGCCACACCAGCCAGGGCTGAAACAGCTTCCTTTTAATGGAACCCTCTCTAATGCCTGGAGGAAAACACAAAGAAACTTCATTTTCCTCTGGTTTAGGACGAAGCTAACAGCTCATTCTTTTTGTCATTGAGGAGTTCTTTGACTACCTGTAAGTAAATATGCTGACAAATAAAGATAGTTGTCAATGAAAAACGGCTTTGCTCTTTTTTCCCATAGGTCCTTGGCATCAAAGCACAGAAATAACTCACACTCGTACAGTACTGTTTGCCACGATATTAGAATTGCTATAACTGGGCTTAATGCAAAGCTAGTAGGAAGCTTGAATTAAACAAAAAAGAAAAGAAAAAGGAAAAAAAGCCCTGGCCAGGTGGCTCGGTTGGTTGTCAGAGGGACACCCCCTGCACAGACAGGACCGTGGGTTCGATCCCAGCAGGGGCATGTACAGGAGGTAACCCAGTGATGTCTCTCTCTCTGTATCCCCCTTCCTCGCTCTCTAAAAAGCCATCAACATATCCTTGGGGAAGGATAAAAAAAACATCTAATAGGAAGCTTTATGGAGTGAGTCATGGTAATTTGTTCTTTGATTCCATTTCAGAGTTTCTGCCTCGTCACAGTTGGGAAGCACTCTTTCAAATCAAGTCTAAATCATTTCTATTAAAAGTTAAAATCACAGAGTACATGCAACAAAAAACCTCCCAGCCCCAAGAATTCAGCCTCAGGAGAATAATAGCAAGCGAATTACTTACAGAAATGTGGGCTTTGACGTCCAGGTCCCCCCAAAAAGAAAAATGAAACTATTCAGAAGCAACTGCAATAAAACTTTCTAGAAATCCGAGGTATTTCTTCACCTCCCTCCTGCGACCAGAGCCCCCAGCGTGAAACTGCTGGTGTGTATTTAGAGGGAAAGTAGCCAAGCAGTGTAAGATGCCAAATCCTGGCCTTTTCTCATGGGGCCTAAGGGCTTCAGGAAATATATCACTGAAACTGTTCTTGAAAGAGAAACGCCCAGCATGCCTCGGTCCGCTCGGGGGCTGACGAGGTTCTTGCTGGGCTGAGTGCCTGTCCTTCTTTGGCGGCTGTGCCTATGCAGCTGGCAGGCGCCCCGCCAGGCTGCCGGCATGCCCCTGAGACAGACGCCCGGGGGCCACACGCTGGCCAGAGACTACAAACAACCAGAGGACCACAGTCAGCGGGGCCAGAGGAAGGCCACGACTTTGCAACAGGGACAATGGCCAGTCTGAGGATTCCCAGGGCTGCTAGCAGCTCCAAAGCTGGCGTGAGGGGGTGACTCTGGCTGCAGGCCGACTGCAGGGGACACGAGCGCTTGGTGTCCTCGATTTCCTTTCCAAAGGCTTAGCTCTGGGTTTGATGCAGGAGCCTTTCTTTGTGGTGGCTCCCTGACAGGTGTGCCGTGACTAGATGAACACTGGTCATCCCCGAAACACACGGCACGTCAAGTGTAAAAGGTCCGCTCCACAAAATTCCTTTTACATTGATACTCACTTTGGACCTCGCTCTACGTTGGGGGAAAAGAACTGGCGTATTTTAAAGCTTCAGCTGTACCCGAGGGCCAATTCAAAGGCACATTATGTATTTAAAAGCTAATGCCCAATTTCTTAAAAGAAGTGAAAGTTTGTCAGCTGTTATTTTAATTATCTTGCACCAAACTACCTGATCCTTAGATTTCAGGCCCAGGGAAGAGAAGGGAGACGAAGCAGCTTCTCACACCACAGTCCAAATTCAGCCGGACTCTGAGCAGGGAGGGAGCACTCGCTGCGACCAGTCAGACCTCCCAACATCCACCAGGGAGCAGAAGCAAGAGAGGCCACCTCGTCTGAGCAGTCACAGACCCGAAAGGCCACATCAAAAAGTGTTTCGGGTCACAGAAGAAAACAGGGGTTCTGACGTGAACAGGTTAATCTGGGGACATCTTCGAGGGTTCCTTGCTTTCCCTTTCAGCTACTACCCTCACTGCAAGTTGATTCAACTCCCCGGGAATTCCATAAACGCCGTCAAAGGCACTGGTCCCGGATGCAGACTGCCCCCCAAACTAACACTTGAGGCTCAAAACAAAGGACATCTGTGGCAGGGGCCGTTGTAAATTCCTTCAAACCAGCAAGACTCAAGGAATGAACTGGTCCACCATGTGTCATTTACCACTTTTGAGAAAGCTGGTGTCTTCCTTCATCTCTCTTTGTCCCTCCTTGCTTATCTCTGACAAATGCCCTGGGATTTTTAAGCAGAATGTGACTCTTTACTGGTATAATAAAAAATGTTTGAAAACTCAAAAAACAAAAACCCTCAAGGATTTTTATACATTGAAGTTGAATCCCCAGTAACCGGGCCTAGCAACTACCCACCAATTTCAGGAATAAAAAGGACATTATTTGCACATGATCACATTCATGTCTTCTTCCTCCTCAAACCTGGTAAGCGGGCAGAATAGGAATAAAAACGAGGAAGATACAAGAATGAGCACAGGAAGAAACATGGCGGAGACTCCTGCCGTGTCCATGGTGGGAAGGAGGCAGTGGGGGGCGGGCACCTGCCTCGGGGGACTGTGGGTGACCCCTTGGCGAGCCAGGGGACTGAGGACCTTGCAGAGTCCAGGCAGCAGTGAAGTGCAGGCAGGCAAGTTCGGGTTAGCCCGAAATAAAATGCAACAGGAAGACTGAACGACTATGCACAGAAATCTCCCACAAAGGAAAAAAATAAATAAGGCCAGGGGCTCTATCCAGCAGCTGTAGCGTCTCATGGAGTTTCCAGAACAAACAAAAGGGACGAGGGAGTGGCATCTACAGTCAGAAACTGAAAGACACTTTCCAGCTTGCTAGAGCGCAAAGCACAGTGTCATGCCATTTTAGAACAACTCTAAGTGCAGAAGGAAACAGGGAAACAAAGCAGAAGTGAAACAATTTCAATGCAGTAAAATTGCATCAGACGTCACACTTTGAACACAGGAGCAGAACAACACCTTCCAATTCCGGATTTTCTACCTAGGATTTCACATCCCAAGCCAAACCGCCTCTCAGGCATGTCATCTCAGAACATCTGCCTTCCCGTGCTCCTGCTCCCAGAACTCACTGGGACACGTTTCTCTTTAACAAGGAAGTCATGTAATTCTACCACACGGGTCTAGGAATCATGGAACCCGGCCCTAGAGGAGAACCAGCCCCGAAGGGGTCTCAATGCACAGCTGCACACTCGCATGAGATCGGCCTACGCTGAGACGGGCTCTGCTGGGCTGACCACGTGGAAAATGGCCCGGAAGGTTTTGCAGCCGTACTTGGGAAGAGTCGGTGACCCATGTATAAAACCAAGTGAACTCCGGGGCAGAATGTTTTTGAGAATGGAAGCGTGAACACAGTAACCTACCCAGTTCAGGAGTGAACGCAGAAGTACGGTCGCTATGATGCTGATTTAACCAAAGGGAAGGAACACCTTCGCCTACTGAACAGGACTCTGCCAGGTCTAAAAATACCCCTTAGGAACCCGAAACCAGGGCTGGGACACCAGGGGCTGACCGGCCTCCAGGATGGGCAGAGGGGACAGGGAGCTCCCATCCTTCCGCCCAAGGCACGAGTAACCTTTGTGCACACACTTCAGTAAAAACTCCTTTTTATTGAAAAATATGCACATATGAAATTGAAAACTTAGAAAAAAAGACACTACTTGCAGTCTCTTTCCCATGGCTCCAGCCTACTGCGAGTGACAACAGGTGAACTTGAGCTCTGGACTCCAAGTCCGTTCTCCAGGCTGCCGTATAGCAGTGGACTTGCCCCCAGCGGCAGCTAGTCCAGAGGCCCCCCGGCCCCCCCAGTGCGCTTCTGCAGGGCAGGGGACATCGCACCCTGCAGAAGTCAGTGGCCACAGAGGGACGCTCATTTGGGAAACACCTTCGGTGGCTCCGGGACTTCTCGGGCATCCACTCCTCCACACCACAGGCATCTGGTCACTGCTTCCTGCCCCGATACCCAAGCAGCACGCCTGTGAACTCTGCACTCCAGATGTGGCCAGGGCAATGTCACTTCAAATGAGTTTAAAAAATCCTAACACGTGGTCAAAATGCTCGTGCCCAACCATGTAGTGTCTCTGGGCCACACATTCAACATACAAACACTAACGAAAACTGACGAGCGAGTTAAAAAAGGTTTTTAATAAATGAAAATTTCATGCTGTGCTGCTTTCATAGCCACCCTAAGCTACGGGCTGGACGCTCGCGGCTGACGTTTCAAAAAGTGAAGAACCACCTTGTGGGGCAACCAAGCAGCATATGTCTTAAAAGTCAGCAGCCAGAATCCTGATGACATACTGCTACATTTTTTTTTCCATCTGTCTCCACCTTCCCGAATATACAGTTTTGTCCCCCTCCCCCAACTTTGTCAATTTTGACTCTGCATCTCAAACCCATGAATGCGTCTTCTGTTAGAAAAGAAACAGCTTTAGTGTGAAAAGATCTTTATTTCAAACAAAGAGCACAGGTCTCACAACAGATGAACTAGTGTTACGGCCCTCAGAGGTCGGGGTTCGCGCCCTTCCTGGCCGGTGCTCGGGCTCCCCCGGGGTGGCCGGAGGCACGGCTGCAAGGTCTTACGGCAGAATCCCCTTCGTCGATCCAAGTGACCCAACTAAAACCACAGCAGCTTTTCCAGAAGAAATAGCTCCCAAAATTGTATCTGTCTCACTGGTCTAAGACCCTAAATTAAATACGTTGTAATATCTGTATCATTAAATCAATATATCTGACAACCACAGTATATTTCATCTTGGCTAATAGTTTTCTTATCATGAAATACCATATTGTTGCTCTCTTCATAAATAGAAAACATTACACTTTGTTCATGGTTTACTGATACTCACAGAGACCATTAGAACTCATCATTTGCACTATTATACATTAAATTATAAGTGATATAACCCCTGCTACAAAAGCTATCCATGTCAACCCAAGATAAAAACCGTCTAGAGTTTAAATACATTAGAAATTACAAAAGAAAAGAAACTGGAAATTAGAAAGTAGTCTTCGAATGCTGAAAATCTAGAAGAACTCTCCGACATCTGCCCTCTTATCACGACATTTGCTTCGAGCTTTGGTCCGAGCTTTGAAGGCTGCGGAATTATGTAAATGCTGAAAGGAAGGGAAGGGAGACGTGACCGTGACTCACAGAGGCTTAAGACAGTCTTACAAAATTTTCTAAAAGAAAAATATAAACTGCAAAGCAGAGAAATGAACTAATTCAACCCTAGAAATACTTTACATGCTTATAAAACACACATATAAAAAGAACGAGGGAGAAATTAATACATACATGTGTTAATGGAAATTAGTGGTTATTTATATTAAGAAAATTCCAGTGGGAAAAAAGTATACCAACACTGATTCTGATCTAGGAAAAGTCACATCATAAACTGATGCAGGAAAAAAAAAAGTCCAACCATGTCAAAAAACAAACAGACAAAAAACCCCCCCCCAAAAAAGCCCTCGCTGGTATGGCTCAGTGGATTGACTGCTGGCCTGTGAACCAAAGGGTCGCTGGTTCAATTCTTAGTCAGGGAATATGCCTGGATTGCAGGCCAGGACCCCGGTGGGGGGCAGGCAAGAGGCAACCACACACTGATGTTTCTCTCCCTCCCCTCCCCCTCTCTAAAAATAAGTAAAATAAAAAACAAAACATGAGGTTCTATTTTAATACCAATTAAAAATAAATGTAATTCCTGTTAGGATAACAGGATATGAGCAAAAAGCCTGCACTCAACCCCCACCCCCACGCAGTGCACTGCCTGCACTTTCAGTACACGGTTCTGGGTCCGAGTCCTGAAGAACTCACGCATGCCCCAGACACAGCGGAACCCGCTCTGGGTGTGCTCTGCACTGGGGCCTTTAGGTCTGTTAAGAACAAAGAATAAAACCCACCCTTTCGAAACGAGAGATCTTCATCGTTTTAAGCGCTGCCGCATCGAGCATCACTGGGGGTCCGAGTTCAAACACATTGCGAAGGAATTCATTGGACTTTGGGGAAAGAAGAAGGCAGTGAGGCTCAGCATGAAACACCAGCCCCCGCCCCACCCCCGCACACGCTGAAACCCGAGGACAGAGTTATGAGGAGCGTGTGAGTATGGATTTGGGTCCCTGTTCTCTGTTTCTCATCAGGGGACCGCTGTGCGCCGGTGCCCTGAACCCGAGGGAGCTGGCAGCCATTTCCACACACAGACACAATGCAGACACAAGGGGCTGGTTTCAGTTCTACTTAATTCCACCTTCAGAAGTAAATTTGCTATCCTGTATCCTGCTGAAAGCATTCTGTACATTCCACTAACTTCAACGCCAATCTGTGAGCTACCCCCAGAATGCCGCCTCCCCCAGTGGTGGGCAGGCGGGCGGCGCTCACCTGCAGGTGGTACTGCAGGCCGGAGCCCAGAACCTCCTTAAACATGTCGTAGGTGTGCTTCTTCACCCAGCAGTCGATGTACATGCGCTCAGGGCCAAATTTAACGGTTTCTGTTGGAAAATCCTGTTCCTAGCCAACAGAAAAACCAAAATTGTGAGAGGAAATAAAAGGCTAAGGAGATGCTCCATAAACACAGTTTCTAAAAAGACGTATAATACGTGTTGAGATAAGTGAACAGGATGGTCTACCCCCAGCAAGTTGTGGAGACGCAGCAGAACTGCGCGGTGCCCAACTCGGGGTGGAAGGTTTCTCCAGGTGCAGCAGACCCGGAGGCAGCACCCGGGTCGGATACACATTAAGGGCAAAACCACGTCTTGAGTTCTTAAATCTCAACAGCACCCCACCAACTGAAAGTAAAGGTCAAGAGTCTACACGGGCCTAGAATTGAGGGGGAGGGGAATGGGGGAGAGGAGGTCCCAGGACAGGACAGGACAGAGAGATGCTCCAGCAGCCAGGGGCAGAACTGATGGGCTAGAAAAGGAGGAAAGGTCAAGGGGGTCAGCGGACAGACCCGCCCAGAGGGGATGGAGCCTGAGTGCAGGTTAACTGAGAAAGCGGGAGGTGACGCCCAAGCTTAAGGTGCCAGACGTGGTCCAATCACACCAGGAGGGTCCCAGGTGCAGTGGCGAGGGCCACCGAACAGGCACACAGCACAGGGTTTCCTATAAGGATGGGGAAGTCGGCAGAATGGGTCAGACCCTGGGCTGCCCCCTCCTGGAGGAGTGGTGGACACGGAGGGGGAGGCAGGCAGAGCAGAGCCCATGGCCTTGCCGCAGGGAGAGCGGACAAAACAGGAGGTGGCACTCGTGGGGCAGGACCAGCGCCCTCCCCCTCAGCAGACACCACACACAGCGGAGCAGAAAGGACATGCACTTGAGACTCCACAGACGGGCCTCCCGGGGGCCGGGCTGTCCCCTGCCCGAGACACGGGTGGTCGGATGGGATGGGGCCAGTCTGTGAGGAGCCCTCAGTCCTGGGCCTGCTACAGCAGCACAGAGACAAACCAACCAACCAGCAGGATGCCCTTATTCCAGAGACACCAGTGCAGAACCATCCGAACCCATCTGCATCCTCGGCACCCCACTCCGAAATCAGACCCGATTCAAAGCCAACCGCTGCCCTTTCACTGAACACCACGGATGCCCCGTCTTCCCCGCATTTCAAACGCTCCTTTCCCCATTGGTTGCTTCTCCCATAAACTGTCTCTGGCCTCGAAACAAACCAGTCCAGGCATCCACTCTTCCCCTTCCGGCCAGAGCAAGACCCTGCACCTCCCTCCTGGCCTTGCCCCAACTCCAACCGGCTCCTCCCCCCACCCCTGCCACTCTGGGCGGGGCTGAGCATCTGGGTTTTAATGCCCATCCTCAACTCATTAGCATGTCAGGTTGGATGACTGACTCTCTGGTGAGGTATTTATTAACGAGAACTGCCCTTCAAATTCAGGGAATATCTGTACCTGAACACACACACTTAGTCAAAGCCTGTGGTCCCCTGTAAGGCTGCCTTTATCCCCCGGCACACAGGCATCACGCACTGCAACCCCTCGTGATTTCCAAATCCAAGTACTGGCCAGGCCAACTGTAGCAGGCTGGAGGACTACAGAAGGGATTCCAGCGTCAGATAGCAATTTTAAGCAATCTTAAAAAGCTGGATTTTGGTATTTTAGTTTTCAGCACCTGCAGGTAGCAAGGTGTAGGCAGTAATTTACTCTTCACAAAAAAACACCACACTAAGTAGGTGCGTGCTAACCACTGTTGCTTAAAGGATGGCCAGGTGCCCCAAGTGAAATGCACTTCCATCACTAGGAAATTTTTTGACTTGTCAAACCTAATAAAAGAGCACTTTTACACATCAGAATTAAAATGTCTTATGTTGAAAAAAAACACAGAAGCGTTCATTTCTGCTATTAAAAGCCGCTTGGGATGAAAAATGAGAAAATTATTTTGGTAAAAAGTGAAGTTCAGTCAACTGTGCAGTCCAGGCTGAAGCTCCCGACCCCACTCGAGCGCTGGCCGGCTGAGGGGCTCACCTCCACCGCCCGTAGGACGTCTCTGAACACCGAGCGCTGCTTCCTCTTGTCCACTTTGGCCCGGTGTTTATTCCCGTCTGTGGCCAGGGACCGGAGCATCTGAGTCAGAGAGTCCATGTCGTCACAGAGGAAGTCCTGGTGAGGAGAAGGCCGTTGGACTCTGCGCTACCGGTGCCACCCGGCCGCTCCTGGAGCCAACGAGAGCAGTGCACCTGGGAAGGCACGGAAGCTGGCCCAGAGCGGCACCAGCCAACTCAGCACGCAGCTGGCGCCCGCGGTACAAGATCACAGACCGGTCGTGTCAGCAGCAGGCTCTGGGAGCCTCCGCACCGCACGCTCGCCGCCACAAGGGCCCGTGTGTAAACCCACCCGCCTGTGCACCCACGGGCACCTGGTTCCATTTCTGAACACCCCTCACACACTCCTCCCACAAAGCCCGTTTCCTTCACCAAAACAGCAAATGAGACTCTTCGTTCTATTTCAAAAGCCAGTTCAACTTTGTCTGTGACAAGGACTTAGGCCCAATATAAACACTTGGGGGCACCTGGGGTCTGGGCTTTGAGGGCAGGGAGCCGTTAAGTAGCTCAGTACACACTGGAGTCCAATTTCTCTCATCAGGAGAATCATTAGTTGCTGGTGGCATTAACAACCTGCTTTCCATCCCTACCTGCTGTCCTTCAAAGACAGCGGGGGGAGACTGGGGTGCTAGGAATAGACACTTCCCAGATACAAAGTTTAACAGCCTAAACATCTTTTAATCCCCACCCAAGAATATGTTTATTGATTTTTTTAGGGAGAGGGAGGGGGAGAGAGGTATCAGTTGATCCCGTACACATCCCGACCAGGGATCAAACCCACAACCTTCTGGTGTGCGGGGCGACACTCCAACTGAGACACCCGTCCAGGGGGAGCCCAAACATTTTTTAACACAGGCCTAGGATGGGAAGTGCAGGACAAAGGCAACCCAGAATGTGTGCTAAAATCCTCGTTGAAATTATTTACTGTCAAATAATTTCATCACAGAAGTTTCATTCTGGAAACACAGTCCTTCTCCTTAAATTAAAAAGCATCTAGTAAGTAACCCAAGATTCCCAACAGAGGCCACCATCAGGTGACGAAACGGCCCGTCAGCCTGAGACGCAGGGTTCCTACAACACTGGACTCCCAGTGCTAAGCCTGGAACATGGCTGCCAAGGGCGGTGCCCAGAGCCAGGGGCAGGCAGGGCAGGGAGCTGCGCGGCCCAGGCCCGTCTCCTGGGCCACGTGTTTCCCAGTGCTGCTTAAACGTGAACCCAGCGACCACACCCCTGGGAAGCGGGACCCGAGCTGATTCGATGTACCACCGCTCGTCTCCCATGTACCACGGAGCACTCGAACACGCCCCACGTCCACAATCCCTGCAGATGAGCCAGAGGCAGAGCCCGCCCCGCACAGCAGAGCGCCCCTGAACTTCATTCAGTTCTAGGGACACTGACCACTCCATGGAGCGAACTTCACTTCAGTGCTGCTGTCCCAGCCCCGGGTGGCTTGTGACAACAAAGGATAGCAGTTCTCCGCTGCAGGCACCAAGAAGCAGGCCACCGACCACTGGGCTTCTAACTGGTGGGCTCCGCATTCCTGCCCCATCCTTCACAGCAGCAAGAACAGTGACCGAAGGGCAGCCCCTGGGGTCCTCGGACACTTACACTCTCCACCCCTCGGGCCAGTTCGAACAGCAGTGCCAGCGACTCCCCGGCGGCGATGCGCAGGTCCACGGCCTCGGAGGACAGCAGGCCGGGCAGTTTACGGAAGTGCCTGGGCAACAGTCAGTCATTACTGGGAGAGCACGCACGACAACACCATGAATGCTTTCGTAAAACAGGAAACTCAAAAAATACACACATCTCTAGCTTTTTCTTCACCTCGCTGATGGGGCAGATGGTCAGCAGGAGCGTCCAGGCCAGAAGCGAGCTGATGTGCAGCCCAGTGTTCGGGCTGCTGCGAACCAGGTTGGCGTCTTTCTCCTGGAGGTAGGACTTGCTGAAGATGTTTTCCAAACACTCCAGGGTGGCATACAGCTCCTAGTGCAGGAGAGGAGGGAGTCAGGTGACCCGCCAGCAGAAACTGGAGGGCAGCGGAGGTCACGGGCTTGCTACTCACTGTGATGTCATCGGTGGCGATGAAGCAGCACACGCCGAAGCAAGTGGCACACTGGGCACAGAACAGAGAACACACGCGCACGTGAGTGTCTGCCCTCTTCTCCCCAACCCCACACCTTCCTGAAGCTCTCTCTCAATGTGAGGAGGGACACTGTCAACCGCGTGACCGAATCAGGGGCCGCGTGTGGTCCTGACGGGAGAGCGAGACCCTGGGATGGAGAGGCAAGCGGCGCGGGGTCTCTGCCCCGGCCCACGGCAGGACTCCGGAGACCCCGAGTCCTCTGCCTGCTCCGCCCGCCCCTCGGGCTGTTTCTAACTCCCACTCAGAGGTGGACATGAAGTTCGGATGTTCGATGTAAAGAAAACCACTCTTACTGTTGAAAACCTTTAAAATATTAAGTTTGCTATAGATTTTTAAGCTTTTAAAATCGTTTCTTTTAAGAGAGTCCATTAAGGAAACCTATACAAAAAAAAGTCAGCTTCCAAAAATAAGCAACCGGGAGCAGAAATCTCATAAAATTTAAATACTCTAATTACTCTCAAACTTCTCACCTAAAGAAGCACTTCATTAGCCAGACTTTATGCGGCTCTGACCGGCGCATCCCTGCCTGAAGACAGGATTTGGGACGGGCGAGCTCTCATCATTTCCCTCGTCCCTTCCCTCCCCGGGCATCCTTAATCCCTCTCGCTGCCCAAGTATCCCTGACACTCCTGCCTCCCGAGTCCCATCCTAGCCCAGCCCACGGGGAACTCAGCAGCCAGGGACGTACAGTCTGCCTGGCCTGCACACTGGCTGTTCCGTCGCAGATTATTTTCTTCAGGATCGGTCCAAGCGTCTTCAAAACCTCTTCACTCTCAATGCCGGGGCCAAGCTGGACACAGAGTGCAGACGCCAGGGCCGCCGCTGCACGCTGCTCATCACCCTTCCCTGGAACAGAAGCCGGCAGCAGCCGTGAAGTCGCGGCAGTGGACCAGAGCGCCGAGGTGGTTCCCCACGTCTGTTCTGTTTCCGAACAGGAAACCCGCAATACGCATACAGAACCCACTCCAGGATGTGACGGGAGCCATGACCAGTGTGACTAAAGACCTCGCTCGAATCCCAGACCCGCCACTTCTCGGCCAAGCGATCTCCACCCAGTGATGCCAAAGCAGACTGCCTCCACAGCAAAGCAGAGATGGACACCTAGCTCGGGGCAGGGCTGGACCAGAGCAGAAACTACGGCGCTTCTCAGCTGTGGCCTTCCAAATCGTGCTCACTCACAGATGCATGCACCCCCAACCCCCCCAGCATTTCAGGTGTGCACAGCCGCAGGGTGAACTCGACCTTCAGGGAGCCCCCCAGGAAGAGATGAAACTAAATCACTCTTCAAAACCACAGAAACGCATTGATGTCAAAGTAAATGTGAATGAATGCTTTTGAGAATGGCACACACTGAAGGACTTGGGCCGGTTCTGAATTTAACTCACTACCTGACACTACGGAGTCAGAGTCGCCGGCCTTTGCTCCCTTGGGCAGTTCAATTCACAAATGACAGCAGCCAACACGACAATAGCAGTCCGGTGTGAATGAATCGACATTACATGGATTTTTTGTCAGGTCAGCAAAAAAGGTCATTTTTGGCATGCCACAGAACTGTAGTCATCAGTTTACGAGTGCCAGAGGATGACAAAGGCTGAAAGTCGCCAAACTACAGCACTAAGTGAGTTCTACAGACCAGGCTGGACTCCAGGACGTTCTCGCTTGGCAAAATTATTCAGGTGCGAGCCCCAAACTGTTTGAATTTTGGTGTTTCTAAAATTGAAAGTATGGTAATGCTCAACTTAATCTTTAAGGCCTTTCTTTATCCTGAAAAGTTCTACAATTATTACAATATAATTCTAGAATCTCTATTTATAAAGTTCTAGAGTTCAAATATTCTAAGGGATAACCTGAAAAATGATGTCATCCACAGGTATGATACAAGAGAAAATAAGCTAAAAATCATACCTTTTCGATTTTAGAAAAATGAAGAAAACAACTTTTTGAGTAATGTTTTTTGTTGACATCGCACACAAGCTTTCAAACCTTTATCACACACGTGACAGTGGCCATCACCTGCTCAGGTATAAGAAGGGACGACAACCACCCTAGTCCTTCCTGGTTTCCAGATGTTTGCCACTCCGATGAAATTAGAGCCCCCCCAAGTCTGCCCTTGGGTTCTTACAAGCATGGCGTGTCCCCAGCAGCAGGAAAGCTACAGGGCAAGCCGGTCTCTGGCACAGCAGACAACGACACCAAGAAGCAGGCAGCCCACCCCGCCTTGGTGCTGCGCCTGGGACTCGAACACAGGCCAGTTACCTTTCCTCAGGCAGCGCTCGATGCTGTCAGTGAGAGTCATCCTTCGCTCCAGAAGGAATTCATAAAGCATTTTTGAAGCCAGTGCGTTTCTGAGACCTTCCAGCGCGGCCTGCCGTGTCTTCGCACTACGTAAAACAAAGCGAAAGAAGACCCAGTCGGAGTGTGCCGTCAACAACTTCAAAAACTTAGCTTATTTCCAGAAGCCCCGGTGGCCTGATGGATACGGCACTGGCCTCCTAAAAGCTGAACTTACTTCCCCGCAATTTTTTTATGTGTATAGATTTATAAATCTAACTGTCATCAAGCTCTAAACATTTTTCAGTAATACAATTTCCATCTATAATAATTCACCTCATTACACAGAAGATTTTAAGCTGCTTTACATCCCAGCAGTTTTCTGTTTACAGAGTTGAGTAACCACAACTTTAAACTACACGGTATCTTACAGTGTCAACGTGCAAGACGCCTCTCCTGCATTACACAAACGCCTTCTCTGTTTACAGCAAAAGCACACCTGTTTGAACACCACAAAAGCCTAGACAGAGTTCTTGTTTTCATCTTCTGGGCTTTTAAATTACATGCGTTTTAAGTCAGTTCTAGAGCTACAAGGAAGTGAAATAATTTGGTATTTTTTCATGTCCGTACCACAGTCAGTGAACAAGAAGCTTAAAGAGAAGTTTAGCTGTCCCTTCTAGTTGAAGATTAACTTTTAATTCAGCAAATCTATCTCTGCTACATAATCAAACACAGTTATGTGCTATTAGGTTGGAAAAATTACTAACCCGAATCCATTAATCTACATTCTATGGCACCTTTGTATCCACAAGAAACACCTCCATGTCCAAAGTGAACAAATCCAGCTTTTAGAACACCACAGTGTAACCCCAGAGAGTGGCACACATCCACAGATGACACAGAGCGTCTCCGCAACTTCCCACCTCTTATCCAGGGTCAAGTCGATGAGTCCCTTCAGCTTGTACTCCAAGTCCTCCTGACTTCCTTCCTCCTCCAGGACTTCTGGTCCTGAGGAATAACAGAAACCCACCAACCGCCATCAGTTCAGGAGACAAAGGGTGCACAGGGAACTGTCCCATACACCCTGGCTACAAGAATCCCCTACAGCGCCCTCTGCCTGGAAGCTGCAGATCGAAATGTAAAAGTCATACCATCCTCAGCAAAGCTGGAAGGGTCGCTGTAGCCACTGCAGTGGCTCATGGTCTCGATGGACGCGTCCTCGTCGCTAAATGGCTGCACGTTTCGGTGCTGGCCTGGGAGGGAGACAGGCAAAGGCGGACGTCAGTGGTGTCGCCACCACAGACGCAAATGTTTAACTGGGAAATTTAGCATCAACTCAAGAGAAGTCCAGTCACAGACACCCAAAACCTATTGAAGAAATGAGGTACTTATTTTAGAGATATTAAAATCAATTTGTCTAATACGTACTTCAGAGCAGCAACAATTTACAACATACAATCAACTTCAGAAATACATCAACCATCTAACTGCAGCACCAGTTTACAAAAAACAGTGTTATGGATGAAAAAACGACTTAAAAACCCCGACTCCGACTCACGAAGGCAATGAAACAGACCCAGAAACCAAGTCTGATGTCACAGATCATCGCGAGACCAAGATGCTTTCCAGCAACAGGACTGGGCTTTGGAAACGGGAACTGGCGCATGGGGTCATCTTCAGGCTGCGCATGTCGCATGTCGCATGTGAAGGGAACTGGAAGGAGGTGCCGGAGGTAGAGGTTTTTACACACAAATGGGGAGAAAAAGGGCTTAAAAGGGAAGGTCTGGTATTTGGCAGCAAAAAAACCCATTAGACAAATTACCTGTAAAAGGAAGGTTCTAACATATGCAATGGTTTAAAAAAATATCAGCGCTGTTACTGAAAAATGAGATCTCCGTTTATAACTAGAATCTGTCAACTTCATTAACTGAACTAATAAATCCATATTCTAAGTCACTCTCATTTCTCATCTCTGTTTTTTTTTGTAGGGATTTCATTAATAACAGGATTCCCCAGACACAAATTACACATTGAGCAATGAGTTAAAATTTCTAAGTCCTAAGTTCCACCTAAAAGTGACCAGGAGTCACCTGATTTACCTCTGAGCCCAAGTTTCCTATCAGTAAAAACACTGACTGCCCTGGCCAGTGTGGCTCCGTTAGTTAGAACATCATCTGTAACCAAAGGGTTACAGGTTCGATTCCCGGTCACATGCTTAGATTGCGCGTTCAATCCCTGGTCTGGGTGCATACAGGAGGCAACTAATCGGTGCTTCTCTCTCACATCACTAGTTAAAAGCAATGAAAAAAAATCCCTGGGGTGAAGATAAAAAAAAAAAATCAAAGACTGTCAAATATCACCATGTCCCTATACTCAACAAATTTGTGGCATTTACTGCAGTAAGTTTTTTTTTTCAATCATGTCAGTTTAAGTCCATTACTGTTGAGTTATTTTAAAATGGGGGTGGCCCTTTAAAAAAAATCAAAATAGGAAAGCGATTTTTATATTAACAAAGGAAGTAGCCTTCAAACATGTTTGCTGTCTACAGGGACTACACTGCACCATCAAAGTAGCAAAGCATAAAAAGGAAGCAGGTCCCCAAACTTTTTCAGCAGGGTGCTCAGGACAAGAATGAACAAACAAACAAAGACCCACAACATCACACTGTTTCCCCGTCTGCCCCGGTGTTTGTTCCCATGGCTTGAAGTCATGGCAACAGCTGTCATCCAACTGACTTTTACTGTGCTACCAATCACTCATCAGTCAATTTAAAGTTTTTGTTTTTCATATTCAGTCTATTGCTAAGCTGTCAAGAAGAATATTCCTATGTAGGATTTACTTGGCTCCCTCCTTTAAGTTTCAATGATTTCCTAAGACTTAAAGGGAAAAGAGACTGAAAAAAGAAATTAAGAGAAAGACCCTGTCTGAACGCCTCATGTCTCAGTCGCCCTCACCCACTAAGTGATGCCAAGTGCCATTGAAGAGGGGAAACTCCACACCCAGAGTCCTTATTTCTTAGAGGACTTTCTTACTAACAAGGTTTTGCTGTTCCTAAAAATTTTTTCTTCAAATTAAGCACTGTTACAAGTATGCATACCTGCATAAGAGAGCAATTTTATTAGCTTCCTAGAGCCCTAACACTAATTCAGAAAATAATTTAAATAGAAAAGTCGTCAGAGTAACAGAAGTGGTTCTTTTTGTTGTACATGTGAAGATCTTGTCTGAATCCCATTTCTTCTAGATGTCATTTTTAAAAGACCGGTAAGGTAAGTGGCTTTTAATACAAGTGTTGGACAATTTACTATCTCTTCTACTCAACTATTATTTATTCATTTATTTATTGAGTTAAGTAGTTAAGTATATTTGCATGGAACCAAATTACAGTTAGCAAGTTCCAGTGTAAACTTCAAAGAGACTCAAAGCACATATAGTTTTAAAAGCTAATCAATAAATTACTTTCCAATTTCTTATATTTGCTAAAATACAGTGGTTAGATATACCATTTCTGCTGAAACCAACAGAAAAGGCAGCAGCGGCTACCATACTGGTAAAATCAGGAATAGGGTGAAAATTAAAAGGCAGCTCCCAATGCCACCTGAGGTTACTGCTGTAAGTAGCTGAAGGAAGGGCGACCAGCAGGGAGCTTCAGCAGGGAGTACAGGCTGTTTGTGATCCAAGGAGGCCATTAGCAACATTACAATATTCAAATAGCTTTAGCTTGCTATTACTGCATTTCATCAACAAAAGGTTAACTGAAGGTAAAGAAATCCCCAGTTCACACACAGTAACCAGATGCCAAAGCAAACTATGTATTTCACATTTTGAAGGTCAAGAATGAATTTCAGGAACATCAAGAGCATCCAACCAACATAAAGAACAAGAGAAAGAAAAAGGGAAAAAACTGAGTTTATTCCTATTATCAATCACATAAAGCTTAGTGCATGGCCACAAGTTTTCCTGCTGCTAGAAATCCTATAGCAAAGCTTGTAAAATGTCAGTTTCCAATCACCTGTAACAAGAAAACTGGCGTGCACTTTCTGATGAACAACAGTGTATCCCTCAGAAGGTCTGAGTGGCAACTGTGTTGACAAATGCCCAGTGACTATTCCCGATGTGATAGCCTGAGGATACTCCAATACTTAACTTCAAAATCTCAGAAGTATTATCAAATGAAATGAGTTTAGTAGTCCTTTCGTGTTAACTGTGTAATTAGTAGTAGTGGAGAATGATGAATTGGGTTAAGCACCTACCCATCGTGGAAATGCTTCAACTTTGCAATGAGGGCACAAACTTCTGGCTATTTGCAACCTGAGCTCCCCACCACTTCCTATCCTGGGCTCAGAGCAGAGAACCTATAGCACAAAGGAGAACGTGGTTTCTGCCCAGGGGCCGGGGAGGTCGCCTTCACTGGTCAGCGTGGAGCGGGGGTTCGGGATTTCCACAGGTGCCAGTTAGGGGTGGGGGCAAAACTTGGTCTGGAACAGTGGCCCCCACGCTCCACAGCATGCACTCGATCAGGGGGCCACGTGGGGCGAGGAGGGGAGCAGAAGGGGATGCCACATGGGCACCTCTGCGTCACCCTGACACCGCGCGAGGCCCAGGCCGCGTGACAGAACAGCCCGTCGAAACCCGGCAAACGTTTAGCATTCCCGAGAACTCCACGTTGGGGGAGGGGGGGAGGGTCAGAAGCGACCAATGACAGCACAGTCGCAACTCCGAGTTCTGTCCCATCTTCGGTCAGGGAGAGCTCTAGAGCAGACCCTGCTCTCTGACTCTGAGGACAGTTCCCCTCCCGCCCACGATCGCGTCACCCGGACCCCAATCGACTTTGCGGCCCGAGGACCCATTCGCCCCCTCCCCGCCCCCACCGCCAGAGCTCAAGAGTTCGGTTCGCAAGCCAGATCAAAATCGCGCGAGGTGCGGCTACCAGAGCACGCCGGGAATTGTAGTTCGCTAGCCTGGCCCAGCGCCCTGCCGACGCATACATCGAGAGGGAAAGAACTACAACTCCCACCATGCCCCAAGGGAAAAAGGCTCGCCAGACTCGCCGGCTACCGGGATACCGGCGCCGGGGACACCTCCTTACTTGCTGTCGCCGCCGTCGCTGCCGCTGCCCCTGAGCCGCCGCCAGCACCGCCACCGCGGTGGACAGTGTTCCGCTTCTTGTTCTTCGGCATCGTGGGACGCCCGGTGCCGCCTAGACTCGGAGCTTAGCGAGGATCAGCCGATGGAACTGCACTTTCTACTTGTGCGTCTATGCGGCGGGCGGCTGAGAGGCGAGGCTTCGGATAACAACAGGGGCGAGAAGCGGCGTGGATGAGAGTGGGCGCTGGTGGCTGCAGAAATCCCCGTGAAGAGCTGTGATCGGAAACGATGCATGTTTCTCTCTAGCGCTGGAGCTAAGGCGGGGCGGACGAGGCCACTGCGCCTTAAGTAGCAAGACCGCCGACTAGTGTCATCAGAGTGGGCGGGACTCGAACTCTACTAGCCAATCCCCGTGCCTCTCCCCACTGGAGTCTCCCTCGCGCGGCTGGAGGACTCGGACTACCAATCCCACGCCGCAGTTCTCCCGGCCGCGCTCAGGGAGCGAGGCTTCGTTGCCGCACTGAACTCTAGGAAGTGTAGTCCGTCCCGGAGGAGTCCTCTCCTGGCTCCTCCCAACGGGCCTTTCCGCGCCCCACCTCCTTGCTCGTGACCCCGCCCCTGCTTCCGGGCGGGCGGGCGTGGAAGGGACTTGAAGTTGTTAGGAGTGTTGAGCTGCCGGGCGGGCGTGCCTGATGACGACAGTCAGCTTCCATGCGGAAGCTGTGGCATCAGTAGGCCCTTCTTTCTCCAGCAGCTCGTGATGTCCCCGTCTTTTACCTTTCCCCTACCTCCCTGAGGCCTCTGCCCGGGTACAGCCATACCCCGCCTCGGGGACATTTCCGTGGTTGTAGCTGTTGAATTAGGTTAGCGAACACCAGTATCTGTAATTGAATTGTGGTTCAAGGCTCTGTGCCCTGCACCTCCCCAAAAAGGTATGCTGGACCTGCTGAGTCTGGCAGTTCGTGTATTTCTCGGCTTCTAGGCTAGAAAGATCTGGCTGTTCAGTGTCATAGGTTCTACTGCCAGTGGGGATGTCGAGATATGGATTAACTTCTGGGAATTTAACAGCTGCTAAAACGGACAAGAGCCATAAATGCCAGTAATCTCTGTGTTTTGTTTTGTTGCCGCCGCCTCACAAGGTGTTCCTAGATCTCTGCCTTCCTCCTTGAATCTGTCATGTATTCAATATTTAAGACCTGTTATTACATTAGTGTTACTAAGCTTACGACAAACCAAAGTCACTGACTCACCTCCGTGTAGGTGACTCACTCCCCACTCCACCTGTCTCCTGAGTTCCTATTTTTTGTTGCCTGTAAGCACGTTTGCCCCTGAAGCTTCCAGTGCCTCTCAGCCCTTTTCTTGTCTTCCCTCTATGTTCACAAAACTGCTATTCTCTCACCTGTCCAAATTCAAACCCTCAAGTGTATGTGTGGTTCCCCTCTCTGTTGAGTACCACCCCGGTGCCCCAAACAATCACTTTACAATAAAACTTGGCAGTGCAAGTCCTGGTCTCCAACCACACATGGCCTCAGTCATACCCGGGACGTTTTAAGGGATCTCCCAGTGATGTCACCGACTCTTTGTGTACAATTTATTTTGCTGATTTATTTACTGATTCATATGCTTTAATAGTGGCTCAACAACCTTCCTTGGTCCTCTTTAGCAATCTGTTGAATGCCAATCCTCTCAGTGTGACCTGGATGCCCTTTCCAGCCCCATCTGTCACTGCCTTCTCTAACACAGCCTGTCCTACAGCCACGCAGCACAGCCCTGCTCAGCCCTGCTCTCCTCCCCCTTAGTTTATCACTCCTGCTGTCCCATGTTCTTGCAATGTCCTTCCTCCCATCTTCACCTTACAAAACATCACCTGTCTCTCAGGACCTAGGTCATATGCCACCTCCTTCACCAAGTCCCAGCCAGAATTGTTTCTTCCTCCTCACAAGTCCTCAAACCCTTTGTAACACCAAACGGTGCTCACCCTGTCCTCAGAGGCCACAGGACCTGTTCAAAGACGCTATTCCAGGGCACTGTATCCGGTTGCTTTCACTTGGTTTAATCCAGAAGCAGCAAGTAAGCTGCACAGGGCAAGTACACCAGGTAGGGATGCAGATCAGTGGACAGGGCTCCCACTGGGCCCCTTGACCTCTCCCTTTGGGTGACCGTGGATCTGAGTCTGGTGGTTGTGGCTGACACTGTGACTCAGTGTCAGAGTGAGATGACCCGGGGCTGCATCAGTACAGAGCTATACCTGTTACAACCCAAGCTCCTCGTCCTCCAGAAACAGTTGGGGCACTAATTCCCAGGCTGGGAGCCCAGCACCCAGGCTTACTGTGCGGTGCCAGGTGCCGACACGTGTGCTTTGCCTGCATTGGGGCACAGTCCTTTTCTCTGCACCCACTCGTGGCCGCTTCTCTGGGGCAAGTGCACCCAGGGCCTACTGTGTCACCTACACACAGGCTTTCTGTTTATTTGTAAACACGTCTGCCATCCCTAAGATGAAATTGTCAAGTCCCTAAGAATGAGAACCTTGTTGTCATCATCTCTATCCCTCAGGGCACAGAAAGAAGTATATCTTTGTAATTATAGGTGGTATATGTTAAATGGGTGTTTAAGAAATACCTGTTGATGAGATCTTTCTGGGTCATGAAAAGGGAGCAACCTTACACAAATGGAGTGTTACTTTCCGTACAGTGAACTCTGAGAGGTACTTTTGATCGACTCATCTTAACCGTGTTTTTATGTCTACAGTTTACCTCCAGAGCAATACAAATACAGAAAGACAGCCTCCAAAGACAGTGGTCCTTAACTCAACATACTGGTTTTGCAACATATTTGAACACATCAGGAGACTCCCCACACTGTGTCACCAAATGACTAGAAGTACCAGGAGGAAAGGTGAACAGGCAAAAAGGCTTTCTCCCAGGCCTGGCCCTTTTATGCAGGACAGAGCACCTTGCTCGGGCATTCCGCCTGCATCACGTTGGCCAGACTTGTCGCGTGCTGACCACTGTCCCAAGGGAGTCTAGAAGACACGCACTTTCAGTTGGGCTGGTTGATGGATCAACCCTGAGGTTCTGCTGATAAGAGCGAAGGGCAGATAAGGGATTTAAGGCAAGCAATGCGCCTCCTGCACTGTGAGGCAAAGTTCTCCCGTGCTCAAATAAGTGTCACGTGTTTGCTAACAACCCGACAGCCAGTGATGCCTCTGACGTCCCCCTCCTAAAGATGTCGCCTGCTCAGTTTAACACCCCACCTAACAAATGTTACCATCACAGCATATACTTTCAGATGTGGCAAAAATAAGTTTCATGTGAGTCTGAGTTCGTGGACACACACAAGAAGAGCTCTCGCCTTTCCTGGGGGTGGGGGGCATATTGAGGACTTCAGTGCAAGGACGAGGAACACAAATAAGACTTGGTATTCGAACCCACCCGCACAGCCCCTGGAAGGGGTTGGCACTGCCTCCCTCTCCAGCTCATCCCCCTTGCACCTCAGGCCCGCCAGTCTTCTTTGCCAACTAGGAACACAAAGTTCATTCCCCTTTTAAGACTCAGTAACAGCTCCTCCATCTCCCTGTGAGGCTCATCTCTGGAGCCTCCCACACCACCCTTCAGCTCTTAGCTTAAATGACACCTCCCCGAGGAGGTCTCCCCCACACTCCACGGCAGGGCCCCCCCACCCCTCCCACCAGCAGCACGCCCGTGCTGCTCTCCAACAGCTCACTGCTCTAGCTTGTGTTTTTCCAGCTCAATCGTTACTGTCTCGAGGTTAGAATTATTAGAGGAGATTTTGTCTTACTCACTGCTGTAGCTTCGGTCCTGGAACACGGCAGTGGTTACGTCTCCTGAATGAATGAATGAATGAATGGGTAAATAATTGAAGGCCATCCGTCTGCCTGATACACCCTTTTCCACAACCCCCTCCTTTAAGTCACAGGCCCTCGGCCCATCTGGTTTAAATGCCTATCTCCTGTGTTGCCGTAGTGCCTGCCCGAAAAGGGCATCTATCATGTGCATTGTGATTCTTGAATGCTTGTCTGCTTCCCCATCAGACACAAAGGGGGCCAAGTTCAAGTTCATCCTCTCTGAATCAGACACCAGGACTTCACCAGCATGGGTAATGCCTTTGTGCAAATTAGAAAGCTTGATGAGTGGTCGTGGGCTGAGGATCCCCCACCCCTCCCTTCAGCAGGGAACCACCCCCACACCTGTCCAGGGGGGCCCTGGCAGACAATTCCATGAGGGACTTCCAGTCAAGGAGGCAGCGAATTCCCTCTGTATCTGAGCAGTTTTCGTACAGGCTAAAAAGCAGCTTCAGGGGAAAGGACAAGACTGAGTTATCGTAATTGTACTCCGTCACTGGCACTGTTCCAGGTTATTGTGTGTGTGTTTTAACTGCTGTAAATATACCCCATAAATGTATCCACCCCCTCCAAGCTTCCTCCCACTTTTCCTGTGTGTGTGTGTGTGGGGTGTGTGTGTTAACACTTAACTCGAGGTTCCTGCCACACCTCTCGGTGTTTCTCACATCAGCACATGGAGGACAGATTACTCTGGCCGCTTCATGGAGGAAGCGATGGGCCCACAGTGGTTCTGCAACTTCCCCAAGGCCGTCCTGTTGGTAAACAGCCCGTGATTGAAACACAGGCTCATCTGATTTCAGGGCTGTCCCTGGCTGACCTTGGCCACAGGGAACATGACTGCTTGTTCCCAGGAGTCACGGGTTGTGTTTTCCGGTGTTCCTTGACCTCGAGGTTGTTGGCTGCCTGGTGGTTGTTAGGCAGACTTAGACTTCTCTGCTATTTCTGAGGCAATAGCAGAATTGTATTATCAGCTAGCAATGTTACTGAACCAAACAACCTTTTAAATGGATGATCACTTGTTATGTTTCAGGTTACTTGGCTTTCTTAACATGTTTGCAAGTTTTGTTTTATTGCCAGAAGTGACAACGATGCAATATGCTAAATTTGAGATCCCTGTTGGTTGGTTCTTTCTACTAAAGGCGTCGGTGGCAAATTTAGTTAGAACTCCTTAGGTCTTAAAATATGTCTGGCTTATCCTTTTCTTTTTGTTGTACAGGAGACATTTCTTTT